GTGTGTGTGTGTGTGTGTGTGTGTGTGTGTGTGTGTGTGTGTGTGTGCAGCTTCCCGGAATCCTTTCCAAACACCCTGCAGGCTAAAGTGGAATCCCAGCCACGCCCCACATATCACCCCATGTGATGTTTGGAGATGCATCCGACACCTACTCTGGACACGACACGCACACGTCTTTTTTAAAAACACATGAGATTTCTATCTTCTCTAAATGTGGTGTGCAAAGCGCTTCACCACTTCTGGCCTTAATGGCAGCCTACATATCAGAGAGGAAGCACTGGCCTGGTGTAATCTGACTTGTCTTAATTACAGGCAGTATCCAGTAATAGGCTGCTTCCATAGATATCAACCATTAGAGCAGTGTCTCTGACGGGAGAGGCCTGATTGGCTACGAGGTGGGTGATAAAGAGGCCATGCCTCATTTACCTCCAATTTTTTGTTCACACATCCCTGTATTAAAGTCAAGCGTGAAGATGGCAAGGGACTGTGTTAAACTGATTTATGTGCTCTCCTATGTGGTGGTGGCTAATCTGCTCGTCCTGATTGCATTGTCAGCAATCAGTGCAGCTCTACAAGTAAATGGTTTCACTGGACGGAAGTTGATCCAGCAAAGTTTTGATGCTGTTTTTTTTTTTTTTATATTATTAAATGGTCCCATTTCTGGACTCATTAAAATTGATATCAGTGGAGCATTGTGACATATATTCTTTTTCCGTTGTGAGCTTATAAAAGTACCGTGCCCAGGCTTTAGGCTTGTCTGTGTGGTTTCACTTCCAAAACCTCAAACCAGCAGCTCTTGTCTGCTCATCGAACTAAACCACAACAAGTATCCTTGAGTAGACTTTACAAACTTGAACAAGATGTTCTTTCAGCAGACTTTTACTGTTTCCTCTCAGCTCTCTGCACTTGTCTGTCTTTCTTCTCTCCCCACAAGTATACACACGCGCCCTCTCGCCGTGTGCTTTCCTTGAGGTTGAGCTTGTATGCTGTGATGTACATTGATGTAGATGATGACCAGAAGGATATTGATGATACGTTCCCAATCCTTCCATCTCCCCCATTCACTTTGCCTTTGTTAGCACCAGAACAGCATGTGATCTGATGACATGATATGTTTGAGTAATTCCACATCCATTTCAAATGCCATAAAACAAAGTCAAACCATTAAGGATAATATACCCATTATTAGTATGGAAATTAGAACTGGAATGCAATAGAGTACTGAAAGCTTGTCACTTGAGTGACAGTTAAAGACACTCCTGGTTCAGTGCACTGTATTTAAGATATGTTTGATGTTTTTCAAACTCCATATTTGGCACATTATCCTCGGTTGGCAGCTCACACCTTGTTGGTATTTAAGACAGATTTCAACAGATGTTACCGGATTGTGGCGGCAGTTGCATTTAAGGGTGCACAGCTCCCTCATAACAGGGAGGTGTCGTCTGCTGAAAGATCACTGTCTGGATGAGAGAGCACAGCCAGCATCCCACCTCATTACCGTAGCAACACACCAACCGAGGGACCGACACACTGCTCGCTGTGATTAAGATGTAAATTTCCTCTAATTGGAATGTAAATTCATACATTTATATGAAGACGTCAGCTGTCAGATTGCAATATTGTGTCCTTTTTTCTCCCTGTCCCCTGTTCCCCAGGCAGGGACTAGGTGCCTGTAATCTGTATCGTACTCCCACAGCCCATCCTGGGATTTGCCGTTTGTTTAATGTCGGGCCCATTGTCTTGCATCCAGCCCGTCATTGTAATGCTTCCCATTCATGTTTCTGTGTTTTGTTGCGGTCTGATTTGCTCTCGCTACCTGTGTTTGTTCCTCCATGCATGGATGAGCCGCCAGGGCTTCGGGGACTGGGGGGGACTTTGAGTCGGGGGCTGGGGTCATCGGGTGGCCGTATTTTGTGTGTGCATCGATTACTTCTGCTGAATGTTCCTCAATGCAAATAAGTCTGCCACTTTGAGAGGAAGCACATGTATCTGAAGTAATTAATTTTACCCTTGAATGCCAGCTGTGGTGTTTGTGTGACGTGTTCCAAATAGAGCTTTCCCACCAAAAAGGTGTTAATTTAGGGATTTGGCAGATGAAGTAAGTGTGTTTGCCAATGTATACGGCCCATAAAACTGTGATCTGTCATGTTTGTCCTGCTAATTCTGAGATTGTGCCATCATGAGGGATTGTTAGATTACATTGTGATATGGCACATTAAGACCCAATCACTTTTATTTTGACTCACACTAAAAATGTTACAGTATGTTTAAGTTATGTCATAGTGTGCAGCCCTGTATATGATAAACTATTAAATGATTATGTAGTTAATCTAACTCAGCCTTGTAAGTACTTTAAAGTACTTTAACACCTTTTAAAGTTGCCTTTTTATGTGTATATTTTCCACATAACATCTGCTACTCTCTGGGAGAAGAAGGATCTAAGATATCAGTAGAGTATTTACATGCAGGATGTTTGATTTATATTCTGACAGTTCAAACACTTAAGACTTCAGATAGGATACTGAGCCTATTTTCACATACCAATCTTCACCAATACCTGTCTCAACAGGCCATGCTCCTGAACTGATCAGCATGTACAAAAGGATAATAACAAGATGTCACACCTGGCATACAGAAGCAAACAAAACATCATTTTCATGACTAAGCAGAAGCAACACACTTTGATAATGCCTTTCTGTAGAAATGTCTTCCATCTCTCCTTATTAGCACCACATATGTTATTTACATCAGACCACCATGTATAGCAGGAACTTCTTGT